AATGAATAAATAAATTTAAATCAAGTTCAAAATATCATCAGCTCAAAAGTCCCAAATCTTAACATCTAAATTAGACATGGGTATGATGACTCTGGATATGATCCATCCTGGTGCAAAATTCTCCATCTGTGGTCCTGTGAAACTAGAAAACAAGTTAACTGCTTTCAAGGAAGAACGATTGGACAGGCATAGGTTAACAGAGACATTCCCATTTTGAGGGGGGAAAGTCAGGAATTATAGTGGTATAGAGGTTGGACAGGCATAGGTTAACAGAGACATTCCCATTTTGAGGGGGGAAAGTCAGGAATTATAGTGGTATAGAGGTATAACGTGGTGTCCACGGAGCTGGCCCACGTGGGAGCAAACCAAGTTTGCATCTGGAGATCTTCCTGAGTACTCCGGGCATGAATGTGCCTGTGATCCGGCAGGCGGGGTTGCTTTATTGTGTCAGGCCCTATTAGGGGTGCTGTTTGTCTTCCTTGCTTTCTGACTCTTTTTGTGTCTCTCTCACTCATGGAAGAAAAAACCTTTTTTTTTTTTGGAGAGGTTTTTATTACAGGGCGCGTGCGCTCGCCAGAAAGACAGAGAGAGAGAGAGAGACAGAAAGCGAGAAATCACCCCCCAGGGGTGATGACCACACCGCAATCCCTTCTCCTCCATTCTCCTCTCGGGATCTTGGGCACACATGCACATGCACCCGGCTTGAGTTTAAGTCGCTGGGACCGGGACTCGAACCGCAGTCTACTACATGGGAGTCCAGCGACATAGCCATTACGCTAACTGCTGGTCCCAGAAATAAACAAACTTTAAAAAAGGAAAAAGTCAAAGAAAAAGAAACAAGTCTCCAGTTCCAAACAACTTTGAAATCCAGTGGTGCAGATTCCATTGCGTTCCAAGGCCTGGGAAGAATTCTCTATGGTTCAGGTCTTCACTCTTTGGGTCCTTGGCTTTGCCTTCTATGATCATGGATCTGGCTTTTACACTTGCAGTTCTGACCTTGGTGGTGGTCTTCCTTTTTCTCAAAGGTAGCCTATGCGTGCAGCCTGTTTCTTATGTAGACAGTTTTTGGAGGCTGGTACCCTTCCTTCATTTTGTCCTGTTTCTGTCTCTTTCTATCTAAACTGGTAGTTTTTCTGCTGCTAGGACATACTTTAAAGACCTTTTGGCTCTCTGTATGTCATCAGAATTCACACCGCTAGACAAAATGTCTTACAGATCTTTCTGAATAAATCCCATCTTTATTGCTGGCTTCTGCTGAGATCATTGACAAGACCCATGCTTTATCTCTTCAGAACTAGCAAAAGGTTGCCCAGCTACACTCTTGCTGGCCTCTCCAGAGCATACTTTCCTAACTATTCATTTGAGCATCTTTTACAGTGTGGACAGGCAAGAATTTCTCAAATTATTAAGCTCTGGTTCCTTTTTTATTTTTAATTAAAAAAAATTTTTTTTAGGTATTTTTTGCTATACGTGTGTATGCTTGCCAGAGACACAGAGAGAAACAAAGAGAAAGAGAATGAGAAATAGCTAACCCCCTCCTGGGGGGGTGGCCACACTGCATTCCCTTCTCCTCCATTCTCTTCTAGGGATTTTGGGCATGCATGCACATGCACCTGGCATGTGTTTCAAGCTGCTGGGTCCAGGATTTGAACCGGAGTGACTATGTGGAAGTCCAGTGCCTCAGCCACCATGCCACCAGCTCCCCCTACCCAGTTCCTTTTTGCTTTAGAGTTCTTTCTCCAACTTATCGCTTTACCCTTGCATTTGATACTAAGCCTTCAGAAGAAAACAGGCTGCACCTTCAGCACTTTGCTTTGAAATTTCCTCACTAAATACTGTCCAAATTCATTGCTTATAAAGTTCTGCTTTTCACACAACTCAGCAGTTTTCTGCCACCATATAACAAGGATGCACTTTTCTCCAGTTTCCAATAACATGGTTTTTTTGTTTTTTGTTTTTTTTGTAAGTCCTTACCAGAAGATCCTGTAACATTTATATTTCTATTAATATTATATTTATGACAATATATGTGTTCTCCAAGACATGCAGGTGTTTTTCATTATGTTCCTCACTTCCTACTGGGCTCTCACGAGAAGAGTCTTTAACATCCATACTTGTAGCAATAGAATGTTGAAGGTAATCTAAGTTTTTTCTATCATTTATCTAAAAATTCTTCTAGCCTTAATTCATTGCCCAATTCCAAAGTGACTTTCACACTTTCAGTTATTTATTGTGTGTGCACCCCACATCTAGGTACCAAAATCTGTATTCGTTTTCTGAGGATGCTGTAATAAATGAACATACACTTGATGGCTTAATACAACAGAAATTTATTCTCTTGCAGGCCTAGAAGTTAGAAATCTGAAATCAGTTTTGGTAGGTGTTGGTAGGGCCATAATCCCTCTGGAGCCTCTAGGGGAGATCTATCTTTGCCTTTTCGACCTTCAGGTAACTGTCAGCATTCCTTGGTTTGTGGCTATATCGTTCTCTCATCCATCTCCATCTTCATAACACCTCTCATTGTGTGCATCAGATCTTTCTCTGACTGTCTCTTAGAAGGGCACATGATTTTGCATTTAGGGCTCACCTGGATAATTCAGCACCATCTCTCCACCTCAAGATCCTTAATCACATCTGCAGTCTCTTTTCGTTCAGATAAGGTCGTATTCCTAGGTTCTAGGGATTAAGTGATGGGTACCTTTCAGCCTACTATCAATGGCACTGTATTATTGTTCTCGTTATTATTTCACTTAACCTGACTCTTAAAAGTATAAGCCTTAGAGGTAATAATGAGTTTCAGACTGACTTGGGTTTGGTTAGCCAGCTTGCATAGAAATCTCACTATGGGTTGAGCATCCCTAATCTGTAAGGCTGAAGTTCAAAATGCTCCAAGATCTGAAACTTTCTGAGCATCGATATGATGCTGTAGGTGAATATTTTCACACCTGGCTTCCTGAATCAGGTTGAAGTCAAAACACTGTAATATGGAAGCATTGTGTAAAATTATCTTTAGGCTATGTGTCTATAGTGTATAGTATACATAAATGCATTTTTTATTTGGGCCTTATACCTAATCAGAAAAAAAATAAAGACTCCAAACTTTGAAATATTTCCTTTTTTTCTTTTTCTTTTTTTTGGAGGGGGTTTTTTGCTATAGGACGTGTGCACTTGCCTGAAAGAGACAGAGAGACAGAAAATGAGAATTCATCCCCACCCTGGGGGGATGGTCACACCGCAGTTCCTTCTCTTCCATTCTCCTCTTGGGATCTTGGGCACACATGCACATGTGCCCAGCATGACTTTAAGCCACTGGGTCTGGGACTCGAACAGTGGCCAACTACATGGGAGTCCAGTGATGTATCCATTACGCCATCTGCTGGTTCCTGAAATACTTCTTACCCTAAGCATTTTGGATATGGGATACGTAACCTGTGAAACACTCTCCTTGGGGTTTATCCTGCAGGTGGACTTAGAACTGGCACTGTCCTACACAGAGGTCTTTTTGATGTGTTGGTGACTAGTCCTCTTTGAGTGGGCTGCATCACAGACCTTGAGCTAATATACTCTTTGGGAATTGTTCTAACGTGCCCTCCATAGGTTACTTGAACGCAACTTCAGGTGGAGGTTGTGGGCCACTAAATAAAATTACACCCCATTTCTGTTTGTTTTTGATAACTGCTTTGTTGATTTATATGTCATGTACAAAACAGGTCACTCATTTAAAGGGTAATATGTAACGGCTTCAGTATGTCCACCGTCATACATTAATTACTACAATAAATTTTAGGGTATTTTTATCACCCCACAAAAGAAAGTCTATACTACTTAGCTGACAAAGCACATTTCTTCCCAAACCCTTCACCCCTAAGCAACCACCCATCTGCTTCCTGTCTGTGTAGATTGCCTGTTCTGGACATTTCACATATAGTATGTAGATCGTGCAGAATGCTGTCTTTTGTGTCTGTTGTTTTTCACTTAGCATACTGTTTTCCAGATTCATCTATGTTAGAGCATATGTCAGTGTTTTGTTCCTTTAATTTCATTGTAAGTGTGACTATATCACATTTTACTTATCCACTCATCAGCTGATAGACATGTGGGTTGTTTGTACTTTTTGCCCCCTCCTCAATCCAAGTGAGAAATAAACAAATGGATTAGGCTGTTGAAGATTGAATACGGCTTTGTCAGCGATCAAAACTCTTACAGCATAAGGCTTAGGTCTGTAACTAACTGGCTCGCAAGTACTAACCCCCTAAACTGCAGCTCCTCTTCTCACTCCCTCTGCCTCCTCCTTGGTGCACAAGGGATTTACTGCTCCAGTAAATTCACTTGATGAGCAGACTGTCTGCTGCATGAGCAGACTTCTTTGTAGGGGAGAAAAACCAAAGGGGCTGAACTATGCTTAATTGCTTTCCTGTAGAGAGAGGAAGATGGAGCCATACTACCAAACTTCAGAAGCACAGTTGCTCCATTAGGCACCAAGGCAGGTAGGAAACTGAGGCAGATGGAGTGGTTCCTTCTAGCATGAAGACATTAGGCAGTTATCTACTAACTGTCTTATCATTTAAAGCAAACACATTTTTCTTTGGTTATGAATTATTAAGAACTCCTTTTTAAAATCTTTTATTTAGTATTAATGCATATATATTTTATTGCCAGAGGATGCATGCACATACATACAAGAGATACGGAGAGAGAGGGTGTGTGCACACTTACATTGAGCTTCTCCCTCTCCATGAAGCCTGGTCAGACTACCACCTTTTTCCCTCTAATTCTCATCCAGCCAAGACCCTAGGCACATATGCATGTGCCCAGCATGAAGCCAGTGGGACTGGGATTCAAACCCTAGTCATCCATGTAGGATCTTCCCTCCACTCAGTGCGTTACTGCTTTGCCACAGGGTTGGCCCTAAAACTCCTTTATATCAAACATGTGAGCAGTTGGACAATTTGAATGATAGCATATATTAATTCTAATACAGCTTATTCTAAAATTTATAGGTTTCTCCACCAACTAAAGGAAGAGAATTCTGAATTAATTAGTAAACTGTGGGCAGATATTCAGCAGAAATTAGCAACACAGTCACAGATAGCAACGCCTCCAAGAACTCCACCATCTACTCTTCCAACAGGGGAACAAAGAGGTTTGTTCTCACTCTGTATTCTTTCCTTTTTTTTTTTAAAGAATTATTTTGTTTGTTTGTTTGTTTGTTTAAATTTGACCAGAGAGGGACAGAGTGAGAGAGAGCGAGAGAGATGGAAAGTGAGAAAGCAAGCCCCTAGGTCCAGGACTCAAATCATGGTTAGCCATGTAGGAGTCCAGCAGCCTTAACCACAGCGCCACCTGCCGGCCCCCCTCTGTATTATTTCTGGTAGCCTGTTTTATTAGGTTCTCGAATACAGTAATATTTAAAGGGATGTTACTTGAATTTTGATTACTTTAACCTAGTTGGCTAAAACTAATACATCTGCCAACTGAAATAGTTTTTTAAAGATAGTTTTCCACTTGACATACTTTTGGAAATGTTCTTTCTTTTAGCTGCTCTGAATGCTACAGCTGCTGTGAAGAGAATCCAAAGCAGGCTACAGTCTGAAGACTCCACTGAGACCCTAAACTCCAGCTTTGTTGTGGGACAAGTGCTGAACTCAAGGAAGCAAAAACAGCTATTAAGTAAAGGTTCAGTCCCTTAATCTATAACAGTGCATTATTAAACGTGTAACTCGATACAGATGTCTTAATATCTTAGTAAATGTATTTTCTCTTAAGTCTATCCTGTTGAATCCAGTACAATAAGGGTTGTTGTATGATAACTGAAAAATGCCTTTTATCCCATATAACTATGGGAAGATGGTTTTAGTACATTCATTATAGATAGTATCAACCTCTCTTAAACTGTATAGGTTTTTATGAGAAAAATGATAAATTATTTAAAAACTTTTTATAAACTATAAACAATGATCAAAAGGATTTTCTAGTAATTTTCTAGTTGTAATTTTCCCGGTTTTGAAATAGAATAACGTCTGTCATTATCAGTGAAAAGAAAACCGGATTTGCAAACTCCTTCCAAGCAGAAGAAAAACATGCTATCGGCCAGCACAACCTCTGCAGACTTACCAAGTAGCAATAATTCCAGCCTGGATGTTCTCAAACATATGATACATGAAGTGGAGCACGAAATGGAAGAATATGAGCGGTGGACAGGACGTGAGGTCAAGGGACTGCAGAGTGGTCAGGGCCTTACAGGCTTCACCTTGTCCCTGGTCAGCTCCCTCTGTCGCCTCGTCCGGTACCTTAAAGAGGTAAGAACATGCGGTTATTAGAGTCTCCTTTTCAGGCAGAAATGTGTGGGGTTTTACTCCTCTTTACTTTATTTATTGTAGTCAAGGACAGTCGAATTTGAATAGCTTTTTAAAAAATACCTGTTTTAGATTATTTGCAGTAAAGGCATATGCTTTTATTCCTATTCTACCATTAGTTGATACTTACATAGCTAACTAACTTTTATTTTAATGTGAGCTTTAGCAAATTATAATCGGTAAGGTAAGTGTACTCTAAACAAAATTATATATTGTGCTAATATTAAATACTACTGTTTGACAGTTACAGGTGAAAATGTACTATTAACTGTATTTTCGTTCTGTTTTTCTCTGTTTCCTAGTGCCATGGTAGTTCAGTTCGCAGAGTGGCACTGCCTGTATAGTGGTCTCCCCCATCATGATTTTAGTTAACACATGGTCAACCACAGTGTGACAATATTAAATGGAAAATTCCACGAATAAGCAATTCATACGCTTTAAATGGCTTGCCATTTAAGTTGCATGTGAGGAAATGTTGGGTTGTCACTTTCAGGAAGTGAATCATTCCTTTGTCCAGTGAATCCACACTGTACGCCATCCCCATCACCCCAGTCGCTGAGTAGTTAATCAGATTGAAAAACCACAGTACAAGTCATACACCATAAAATGATTTAGTCGATGAGGGACCTCATATACAATGGTGGGACCCTGCGATTATAATAGGCCATGCTTATAGCCTGGGCGTGTTGTAGGCTGTACCATCTAGGGTGGTGTAGCTGTTTTCCACGATGTATGTAGTCACGAAATTGCCTAACCGCACATTTCTTAGAATGTATCCCTATTGCTAAGTGACAATTTGCATGTGTGTGTGTGTGTGTGTGTGTGTGTGTGTGCGTGTGTGTGTGCGTGTGCGTGTGTGTGCAGTTTGGTACTATCAGTGGTTTCAGGCATCTGGGGTTTGGGTGGGGTCTTAGAATACTTCCCTCACCGATAGGGGGCTACTGTAATCCGCAGAATTGCTAGGTGGGAAAGTTCCTCATCTCCGAGTGCTTGGTGACTTGGCAATGGCTTCACCGTGTAAGTGGGAGATGTCTTACTGTTTTGAAAATAGTTTATGAAACGTGCAAGAATTCTTTCTTTAATCTGTTTGCAATAACAATCAGTCCTCAGAATTCTGTGGAATTACTTAGCTATGTATTTTATTTTTACAAAAGTCTGTTTGAACTTAAATCTGTAAAACAAAATGTGACAAGGATATTTAAGGAATTTTTTATTATTTAAAAAATAGATTCACCACTCTAATTCAGATATTTCGATTTCTCTGTAGCTGTCTTCCTAAAATTGCTTTTTAATGAAAGATTTGTTGTAATGACAGACTATTTTTTTTTTTTTTTTGGTAATTTTTTGCCATAGAGTGTGTGTGCTTTTCCAGAGAGGGAATGTGAGAAATACCCTTCTGGGCCATGGCCATGCCACATTCCCTTCTCCTCTATTCTCCTCTTGGGATTTTGGGCATGCACACACATGTGCCTGGTATGATTTTCAAGCTGCTGAGTCCAGAGCTTAAACCATGATCAGCCATGTGGGAGTCCAGCACCTTAATTAAAAAGCCATCTTCTGGCCCCCTGACAGACTTACCAATCTTACCATTGTTTCATCCCTAAGTCAGAAATACTCAGAAGTGTACTTTTTTTTAAGCCTTAGAAGGACATACTTTGTAGTTAGTCACTTGCTTTAAAAAGTTAAATCATTTAAAACTGTAGTCATTTATTTTTATTATATTTTCACAAACCTAGTTTTGAAACTGGTGATACAATCACATGCTATGAAATTCAAAGATGCAGAAAGATGTAGAATGAAGACTCTCTCACCCTTAACTCTCAGTTAAGAGAGTTCACTTCTGTGTAACCAGCTCTTACTGCCAAATACCATGTATCCTGGAGACAGCCCACACGTATTCACACCACATGGATAGCCTTCTACTTCCTTTTACAGAATATGAAGTTATTTAATTCTCCATGTCATTTTGTTCATTATATTTTATTCAAAGAAGGGGAGAGGATGAAGCAGCGTGTTTTATGTAAATGTGATAAACCTAATAAAATTGTAATCCTCATTACTGTCAGATAACATACGCTTTTTTGTAAGTATCTTCTTCGACAACCTTAAGTAGAAACTTAGTTTTCAACAATGTGTTGCTGTTGGTGGGCGCTTATTCTGACTTGTTCCTGTAGAGCGAGCTCCAACTGCGTAAGGAAGTAGAGACGAGGAAGCACCTGGAGCAAGTGTTAGGCGAGCACCGCGAGCTCATCGACGCTCTGACGGCCGAGATTCTGCTGCTCAGAGAAGAACACACCACCACACAAGTACTCACTTTCCTGTTTCGTGTCAAAGTCTCGTAGAGCTGCCTTTGGTTTAGCTGTGCTGATGTGATTGCTTAGCCTCATGTCACCGGTGTTAGCTGTTACTGAACATTATTATAGAGGAGGACCATGGTAGAGGCTTGGACTGCAAATTGTATATAGAATAAGTCGGCTGTCTTTAAGAAACTTACTCTTTAATGAATCAGATAGAATCTACATCAAACCAACTACCGATAATGTAGCATTAATGCAAAGTACGAAATGAGTGTTATGATAGCCACTTTTAATTCTGAAACATTGTATACACATAGATAAGTATGAGAATATGTTTATATACTTACCTACAATATATTGTTATTGCTCACACATGTGTAATATGTAAAGTTATACTCATATTGCACACAGAATTTATGCTTTTTTTCTCTTAATGTTATTTCATATACATTACCTTAAATCCTAATAGTTTTTATCATTTTGAGTGCCTGTGTAGTATTTCTGTAGTGTTTCTTCCAGCTGATGTCTATCTCCTGAGGTAGCTTGAGAGTCTCTTGAAATCACCTATGTGGGACCAGCAGGTGGGTGTTGTGATTAAAGATGCTGGACTCCCACATGGCTGACTGGTTTGAGTCCCAGATCTGGCAGCTTGCTTTCTCACTCTCCCTCTCTTTGTCTCTCTGTGTCTCTCTCTGGTCAAATTTAAAAAACAATAATAATAAAGTTAAATAAAATAATTCTTTAAAAAAAAAAAGAAATCAGCTAAAGGAAGGGGTTTTGTAAATTGAAAGCCCGATTAAGAAGGTTAATTCTAATTGTTATAGCAGGGTATTTATTGGTTAGATTCCATTATTTAAACACTTCTCTCTCCTGGAACTTGTAGGACACTTATAATTATGGATAGGATTGCTTTAGAATTTGAATGAAGGGGCTGGCAGGTGGGATGGTGGTTAAGGTGCTGGACTCCCACATGAGTGACCATGGTTTGAGTTCCTGGTCTGGTGACTTACTTTCTCACTTTCCTCACTCTTCCTCTCTTTCTGATCAAATTAAAAAATTATAACAATTGGGGACCACCAGATTGCATGATGGCCATGTCACTGGACTCCTATGTAGTCTACTGTGGTTTGAGTCCCAGGCCCAGTGGCTTAAACGAACGCCAGGCGCATGTGCGTGCGTGCCTAAGATCCCGAGAGGAGAATGGAGTAGAAGGGATTGTGGCATGGCCATCTCTCCTGGGGGGGTGATTTCTCGCTTTCTGTTTCTCTGTCTCTCTCTGTCTTTCTGGCGAGCGCATGTGCCATATACCAAAAGCCTCTCAAAAAAATAATAATAACAATAAATAAAAATTTAAAAGAATTTGAATGATACTATAAAATTCCTGAGTATTTAAAATTATGACTTTATACACACACAGACATATGCATAACCCCACACATACGCACAGGTATCTTTTATAGGGTTTGTGTTCTCAGTGATGGTTAGATGTTTGATATGCCAATGATGTCATTTCATTTCATTTCATCTCTAGGCAAGACTTCAGCAGTACATGGTCACAACAGATGAGCAACTGATATCACTCACACATGCCATAAAGAACTGTCCTGTGATAAATAACAACAGACAAGAAAGCCAGGCATCGGAAAGGGGAGCCACCAGTAGAAAAATCGCAGACAGTCCGGGTGAGTGTGGTCTCATTATCCCAGTGTCTTTAAACTTCTTCATGGCCTTAGAGTAACAGACAGAACCCTAAACCCCTAACCCTACCTGGTGCTACTGCCGGTTTACACATACACAGTAGGCGTGTTATCATAATTACCACTACCTTTCCAGCTCACTCTATGTCAGGTACTTTTTAAGTCTTACAGATAATCTCACTTAATCCTCATAATAGTCTTATGAGGTAGAAATTATTATCTTTATTTCATTGAGAAAATTGGGAGTTCGAAAGGGTCAGTAACTTAGCAGAACTGGATATTTAGACTGGCGAGACCGCGCCAGCATGTTTTCTCATGTGCCTGAGATCAAAAGGAGATGTTTCGGAGAGGGAAAAAATACTCAGTTTCAGAAATTCATAACTTCTATTTATATGTGGTGATGTTGTTCTTCATCACTTCCTGTGCTATTACGTGTTATAGGCTAAATAGGACATTTAGGTATTTTCATGTTTTTACCTTTTTTATTTTTTAAGGTTTTTGCTATATGGCATGTGCACTCACTGGAGAAAGACACAGAGAGAAAGCTTCTAGTGTTCCTAGGGTGAGAAGACTAGGAGTGAGTGTATCCTAAGTTATTGTTAATTCTTGTTATTGCCTGTGGATGAAGTTAGAAAGATTCTTTTAGGTGAAACCAGGTTAGCATCTTCCCGCGTTTCAGTTCATATAACCCTTTTTATTGATTTATTTAATTTATTTTTTAAGAGAGATTTTTGCTATAGGGTGCCTGTGCTCACCAGAAAGACAAAGAGAGAAAGAGTCAGAAAGTGAGAAATCCTGCCCCCACCTCCAGGGTGGATGGCCACACCACAATCCTTTCTCTTCTATTCTCCTCACAGGATCTTGGGCACACAGGCACACTCACCTGGTGTGAGATTAAGCCACTGAGTCCGGGACTTGAACCGTGGTCTACTACATGGGAGTCCAGCGACATAACCATTAAGCCATCTACTGGCCCCAATTTTTAAGGCCAGAGGGTGTGTCCACATGCATAAGAGAGAGACTCATCAACAGTCTGGGTTGCATCACAGTACTTTGTCCTCCAGTTCTTCATGCTGTAAGTTCTGGGCATGTATGTGCACACCCAGCACATTTTCCAGTTGGTGGAGCTAGGACTAAAACCTGGCCGTGTAGGATCTGGCTTCCTCTACACAGTGCTTAACCACTGTGCTACGGGGCTAGCTGCATCTGTGACCCCTTTTATGGAATGTGGCTATTGTGATAACACATGACATATGAAATTACTTTGTAGTGCGATGAACCCTATATATGGAGTCAGTTCACTAATGTGCCCTATTTTTGCCATCTTATTATTTTTCATGACTATTAGAAAACTATCCGTAACAAATAATGAGAAATTCTCAAGTGCCAGGTAAGAATTAGTTTTAGAAGTCTTTAAGTGACATTCTTTTTATGGCTTAAGCCCCAGTGTTTTCCTTAAAAATAGCTTCTTCCTGATGCTGGTTCCTCAGGACCCTGCCTGTGAATTACTGGCAAAGGAGCATAGCCTAGAAAGTGAAGGCTCTAGGGTGTCATTGGATTTTGTACTCTAAGGAAATGCACAAATGAATAAATACCTGAAATATGCCCATAGTTCTGTTTTGTTCCTTAGGTACAAATAACCTCTCTTCTTCAGAGGGCCCAGTTGTAAATGCAAATGTCTCTGTGCCATTAATGTTCAGAGGGGAAGAGGTGGCAGAGTTCCCTCAGGAAGAGTTGCCTGTCAAACTGTCTCAGATGCCACACCCCACAGATAGCATGAATCTGGCCAACAGTTTCCCAGCACGCATTTTTGAGCCGGCTGTGTTATTAACACCACCTAGGCAGAAGAGCAACTCAGAATTCTCTCCTCTGCAGGACGGTAAGCAGGCTTCTTCTAGAGTTGTGTGGAAGTTTCATTTACGTAATGATTGCATTCACTGTTACTTGAAACACAGAATTGTAAAAGGCATAACCTGTAATTTTTAAGCTAGAAGAAGAATTTTTAGGATAGTATTATGTGTGTTATGCCTACAGTAAAGTGTAATACAGAATTAATTTTACTGTATTTTCTTCCATTAAACATTGTAAATATTAAACTCAGATCAAGGGATTAAAGTCCTTAACATTAAGATACATCTGAGTCACAGTACTGATGTCCTTTTTCTTTTTTTTTTTTTGGAGAGGTTTTTGCTATAGGGCGCGTGCGCTCGCCAGACGGAGAGAGACATAGAGACAGAAAGCGAGAAATCACCCCCCGGGGGGATGGTCATGCCACAGTCCCTTCTCCTCCATTCTCCTCTCAGGATCTTGGGCATGCACACACACGCGCCCGGCGTGAGTTTTAAGCCACCGGGTCCGGGATGCGAACTGCAGTTGACTACGTGGGAGTCCAGCGACATAGCCATTACGCTAACTGCTGGTTCCCAATACTGATGTCTTGATAACCTCCCTTCTCCATGTCTATTCTTGTCTTCTCCATCTCACTGACTATCACCATCCACTCAAAATGCCTGCCATCTGGATCTCTGTGTCTCTCTCACTTCCCTCTTGTAGTTCATCACCTAGTTCTGTTGCCCGGATATTTATCAGATTGATTATTGCTCTCTGTCTCTGTTGCCAGCAATCCCGAGTCAAAGCGGCCATCATCTTTCTCCTGGACTCCCTCCTTCCTATCTGCTATCTTTGAATTATCCGTAGCACTTAAGAAACATACATCAAGTCACTGTCAACCCACCTCTCAGTTTCCAGTGCTCTTAGAGTACATTATAAAATATTGAACATGACCTAAAAAGCTCTGCCCATGATGGCCCCTGCGATCCTTCTTTTTCTAGTTCTCCTCTTGATGCTGTGTGATACTAGAATGGCCTCCTTACTTTGCTCTTTACTGTGTTTGAGCCTTCACGTCTCTGCCTGTAATGTCCCTTGCTCAACTTTCTATTCCATATGATAATCATTTCTAAATTGTATTTCCTCAGCAAGCCTGTCCTGGCCTTCCTCAGTTTAAATGAGGTTCCTACATGCTTCTCCTCATCCCCTGCATCCAGATTTCTCGATGTGTGTTCACATGACTTGGCAGATGTTTCTCCATGAGGGATGCTGATAAATGCGTTAATGAATAGAAACATCTGTCTTTGATTGCTAGGGTGGCATTGCTACTACATTGCGTACTGAAAATAAGTTAGGTATTTAGAAGCCAACCTCGTCATTGCAGTTCTCCTCCAAGTATCACGAGGGGCTCCTGTGGTGATGCTTGTGTCAGTCCGTGTGAAAATCATGCCTGCTTATTATTTGTTCATTCTTATCTGCAGTATTGAGGAGAACTGTTCAGACTCGTCCTGCTCCACGAATTCCCCCAACCGTGGAAATAATTGAGAAGGAACAAAATTGGGAAAAGAAGACTTTGCCTATTGTTACAGACGTTCAGAATTCAACTGAAGAGAGTCGTCTCTTTACCCAGAGGTGGAGAGTCTCGCACATGGGAGAAGACCTGGAGAACAAGACCCAGGCTCCGTTTGTTAACCTCTCACAGCCCGTAGGCAGTTCCCATTCCACCACTCAGCAGCTGAGAAACCCCGTGTTCTCAGAAGAGCCCCCAGGCCCCGGAGATGGGCAGCAGCTTAGAACGAACGAAGCGTTAACACAGAGAAAGGACATAATGGCACGGATTGCTGAGCTGACGCTGCAGAATTCCGTGATCAAGGCCCATCTGAATAATATCGCTGGGCCGGGAGGAGAACAAGGGGATGGACTCCGGGAGTCGACCCTGCAGGAAAGTGCAGGCGATGTGACTGCGGTGAGGACCACTGAAGGGCTGACATTGAAGGGCTGACGGGGCCATAGAGGAATGTAAGCAGGAGTTTAACTTAGGCCACTAGAGAGAGACTGCTTTTTGGAAGTGATCCTAAATGGCTTTGAGGTGGCCTCTGGGTGGCATATGCTGTGGCATGCCCTCATCACAGCATGGTTTATACTGCATATTAACAAAGAAGGCAGCGTAAAAGAAAAAATATACTTTTTTTTGGAGAGGTTTTTGCTATAGGGCACATGCGCTCACCAGAAAGACAGAGAGAGACAGAGAGACAGAAAGCGAGAAATCACTTCCCAGGAGGGACGGCCATGCCGCAATCCCGTCTCCTCCATTCTCCTTGTGGGATCTAGACATGCACACACATGCACCTGGCATGGGTTTAAGCCACCGGGTCTGGGACTCAAACCGCGGTCGGCTACGTGGGAGTTCAGTGACATAGCCATTACGCTAACTGCTGGTCCCCCCAAAAAATACAATATTAAGGAAAATAGGACAAAGATAAAGTTAAGCTTAAACTAAGAATGAGGTTTTAAATACAAAATACAGAATTAATAGGACTTGAGAGTTTGCCACACAACTACATCATAATTGAAAGTATTTTTACTCTTACAGTGGCTCATAAAAGAGTAGCCGGCCCTCAACTCAGGAGTTGTTAACTTTCTAAGACACAGAATGCATTTTTCAGTAAAAATAAGGTTTAAGGGATTATTAAAGTCAGACTTTAACATGTAACATGTATACGGATCATGTTGCTAAAATAGCGTTTCTGATTGAGTAGCTCTGGTGTGGGATCTATCCATTTCTACTAAGTCCCAAATGATGCCAGTGCTGCTGGTCTGAGGACCACGCTTGCGAAGTCTATGCTGAAGTCTATGTATGATAGTTAATAACCGTGTATGCTCAGCTGGTAGCTGAAGCCTTCGTTTCGTCATGTGATCTTTTGTGCAGCTCAGCAGACACTGAGACACGCAGGAAAACTGTCCCACGGTCTCTGTGCGTAGACAAAGGGACTGTAGGCTGACATGCCACCAGTAATAAAGGATTAGAATCCTTTTGCGTTAGTGATTTTTCAGTGAAATGATTTGTAAATTCTATTGTTTGCCCTCTAGTCACACTTGTATATAGCCGAGGATATGAATACTAACTCACGGGCACTTAGAAAAGTCAAAATTATGTACCTTTTTTTCCAACATTGAATTCGTATCCTTTTTATCCCCCTCAAAGGCTTTTGCAGTTGCGCCATCTCTAACACCAAGCAGCATGGAGGAACGGATTGCAGAATTGAATCGACAGAGTATGGAGGCTCGTGAGAAACTACTACAGTTGATAGAGCAGCAGAAACTGGTAGGATTAAATGCTACTTCTCCACCAGTGTCACCTGCTCAGTCACCTCTCAGAGCATGGACTGGTAGGTCACAAATTCATGATTTAAAAATCTAGAAATATGGGGGCTGGTAGGTAGTGTGGTGGTTAAAGGCTCTGGACTCCCACATGGCTGACCATGGTTCAAGACTTGGACCTGGCGCCTTGCTTTATCACTTTCTCTTTCTCTCTCCTGCTCGACAAATTAAAATAAATAAATAAATAGTTAAAATAAAATAATTTTAAAAAAATGCTAGAAATATGAATGTTTTCATGTTCGTAATTTGTAAGTTCATTTTGAGCTAGCCAAAAGAATTCTCAGAGCATATATTCTAGTGCCTTTTTTCCCTTCTAGATGGTAAGTGGGCTTGCTAGAGGGCAAGAATCATAGAAAGAATGGGGGAGAGAGAGGGAGAAAGCATCTCTCAATGGGGTGTGGTCACATTGCAATTCTTTCTTTTCCATTTCTCCATCCTGTTGGGATTTGAACATGCATGCACACATGTAGCATGTTTTTCAAGCCTCTGGAGCTGGGATTTGAACTGCAGTCAGCCGTGTACAATCTGGTTCCACTAACTATTAAGCCATGGACCCCACCTCCATTACCTTAGATTTTACACAGTAATAAACTAGCCTAAGCCACAGAGTGAGGGACAAAAATAGGACTACAAGACAGGTCTCCTGGTTCTTTTTCTTTTTTTAAAGAACGATTTTATTTAACTTTATCCATTTATTTATTTTAATTTGACCAGAGAGGAAGTAAGAAAGAGAGAGAGAGAGAGTTTTTAAAGAGAGAGAGAAACTGAGAAAGCAAGCCTTGAACCGCAGTCCACCATGTGACAGTGTAGTGCCCTTAACCACCATGCCACCTGCTGGCCCCAGGGCTCCTGATAATTACTCCTCTGCTGTACGTCTGCATTGTCTTTGGTGCAAAATTCTTGAGTTGCCATGCATCTAAATGGGATTTATTACAGTACATGATTGTCTTAGAATGTATACTGCAGCTAATTATAAAATATAAGAATCAACTAATAGTTTAGAATTTTATCAGCAACAAATTATAAGTTTAAAATGAAGAAAATTGTTAATTAAATTTTCTATTCTATCATTACCTTTAGGAATGTAAAAAGCTGAAGGGGATTCTAAATAATGATACAGTAACTGAAAAATTAGGTGTCATAGTATTCCTATACAAAAAGGTACTGATAAAATGAAGTAGATTTCAACCTGCTTCTTAGCCAGAAATTATATTATTAAGGTCATGAAGGGATTAAACTACATGCAAAGTATAGAGAAACTGATTTCGGCTCTGTATAAAGAAGATTCTAATTGTCAGGATAGAAAAAGCTTTTAATGAGTAAGGTCTAGATCTTAGGGCTAGCTCTTAATTTCTTTCTTTCTTTCTTTCTTTCTTTCTTTCTTTCTTTCTTTCTTTCTTTCTTTTTTTAATTTTAGAGAGAGAGATTTTTGCTTTAGGACGTGTGTGCTTGCTAGAGAGACAGAAAGCAAGAAATCACCCCCTTACCCCCCAGGGGATGGCCACACCACAATCTTTTCTCTATTCTCTTTTGGGATTTTGGGCATGCACGCACCCACACACACACCTGGTGTGAGTTTTAAGCTGCCAGGTCTAAGACTTGAACTGCAGTTGACTATGTGGGAGTCTAGCGATGTAACCGTTACACTATCTGCTGGTCCCAAGCTAGCTCCTAATTTCTGTTTTTTACTGCCAGATCTGAAATGATGCTAAAGATTCTGGTTTTCTGTGAACTGGCAAGCTACTGGATTAATACTAGTAACTAAAATTCTTTATCTCAATTCATTTTTTTTCTTTTTTAAAGAATTATTTATTTTGTTTTATTTATTATTATAATTTTTTATTTGACCAGAGAGAGAGAGGAAAAGTGAGAAAGCAAGCTACCAGGTCTGGAACTTGAACTGAGGTCAGTCATGTGGGATTCCAGCACCTTAACCATGATGCTGTCTCCCAGCCCCACTCTCAGTTCACGTGCAGGGCCAGCAGGTCGTGTGGTGGTTAAAGTGCTTGATTCTCACATGGCTGACCATGGTTCCAGTCTTGGACCTTGTGGCTTGCTTTCTTTCCCTCTCTCTCTTTTTGCTGAACATACGTGCCCTATGACAAATAATAATCATAAATAAAATTAAACAAATAATTATTTTTTAAAAACACTTCAAGTGTACCCATGGGCTTGACGATAAAAATATAAAAGGAACTCCCAATTTAGAATGTGCAATTTGCAGTAAGACAGAAATCATGTGAAATTTGTATTATACTGAGAGATAATGAAATTAATATTTATCTTTACATTTCAGAAGGAGGAAAGAGGACAATTGAGGTATCTATTCCAGGAGCAGAAGTCCCAGAAAGCTCAAAATGTAGTACTGTGTCTCCTGTCAGTGGGATAAATACAAGAAGGTAGGGTTATAGTGTATAAATTTACTCTAAAAAAATGAGGACTATGGAATATGTTTTATTCTCTTTGAGAAAAAAGGGAGTGCATAATTTTTGACTTACTTTCAGACCGACACTCGTGAAGGGAAAGTAAAGTAATTGGAGGACTCTGAGGGGAAAAGGAGCTAGGAACAAGCCTTTAAAGTAGAAAAGCACGGGTTAGCTACTGAAGATAAATATGGCTAACACATATGTAGAGAGTGTTACGGGTAACAAAATAAGGAGATAGTGTAAGACAGTGGGTCAATAGGCTAGAACTTTCCTCCTTTACAGTAAGTGAAACTGAAGCTCACAGAGCTCATCAGGTGATCGTCCTAGATGAATCATGGACTTCGTAAATGGTGACACTGAGACCATTTCCCATCTCCGGTCTGCGGCTTCCTATCCACTGTGCTGCTCCGGGTCTTGTTACTTTTCTACTACCCTGAGCTTCTTCCCCACTCTTGCGCATCCATTTTTCCCCTTTGATGTTAAAAACTTACCTAGATGATATTATACTGACAGATACATGTTCATTGTACATTTCAAAGTCCATAGAACGTATAACACAAAGAATGAGCTGAAATATAAACTATGGACATTACTTAAAAGTAATGTATCCGGATTGGCTCACCAGTTATAACAGATATGGCATACTAATGCAAGATGTTAATAAGAGGGCCACCGTGTTGGAGATGAGAGCGAACAGGTGGATGGGGACTCTCTCTACTTTCCATTTGATCTTTTCGTATACTAAAAACTACTCTATAAAGTCAAATCTGTCCATTTAAAACTAGACTTACAGGCGGTGAAACTATGCTACATTTGACTTGCTTCATTTGGACCTTAGCCATTGCTTTTCAAGCTCTTGACAGTGTTGAGAATTGTCAGTTGTTTGCATAATTTTTGAAAGTTAATAATAATAATTCACTCTGTCTCTCTTTTTTATGTTCCATAAATAGATCTTCAGGGGCTACTAGTAATTCTTGTTCTCCATTAAATGCCACCTGTGGAAGTGGGCGACTCACACCTCTTAATCCAAGAGCAAAGGTATGCAATAAAATGTTATGGTGGGGGCTGACAGAGGACGTGGTGGTTGAAGGCACTGGACTCCATATTGCCAACAGTGGCTCAAGTCCCAGACTTGGTGGCTTGCTTTCTCACTTTCTCTCTCTCTCACTCTCACTCTTGCTCTGTCCTTCTCTTGTCAAATTAAAATAAATAAAGTTAAAATAAAATAATTGTCAAAAAAAACCCCTGTGATTGTGAAATGTATATAGAGGTCAGAAGGGTAAGGGTGGAAGTTGACTGATTTAATGATTCTTTCTTAATTATTTTCATTATCCTAAAGATGATAAATTATCAGAAAAAAATACTAATTTATCTTCATTAGAAAAAAAAAAAACTAATGTCATATACTTTGTTTTCTAGGTAATTAAGGAGTAAGGTAAAATTCAATAGGATTTCAACCATCCTTAAGACTGGATATTATTGGTTTCACACTGAGTTTCCCAAGTAGTCTGGGAGGACATACAGGTGTGCCCTCAATAGGTTGTGGATACACTGAGATACTGTTTCACGCAGTGCTTGCTGTGGCTGGGTAGTTTCTGGCATAGCCATTGGCATGAACCAGTCACTTCATCCAATGTGCCATGTCTGAGTATGCCACTCCATAGAGAGGTTATGACACAAAGAGTGAGTAAATGTCTTACATATTCTTGTGCTATAGAAAGTATAGAAACTAAGTGTTTCACAGTGTTTCTAAAACTTTTACAGAAGGCATTTTTCTATGTTGGCAATATAGTAAAATATAGTGATTTCACTTGATCAGAGTAAATTATAAGGATATCTTTAAAGTCATAAAAATTAGTTTTGTAGGCTTGAACCAACAACCATCTGATATGGAGGGGTCTTTGCCATTGTTATTACTAGCTTCGGTGATTAAACCAAAGGGTGGAAACTTACAGCCCAAAATAATTGATAGGCTTAGATATCTCAATTGGCTAACACTAGAATGTTTGTCCTCTGCTGTTCCTTATATTCTAAAAGAACTTTAAGCTATTTTATATTATTTACTCTTAGTTCCTAGATTTAGTAAAAGTTTATTAAGATCAAATAACTTTTTTTTATATAATTTTAAATGTACCTATGATTTGTATAAAATACTGGATTTCTTCTTTTTTTAGAGAGACTTTTGCTGTAGAGCATGTGAGCTCATCAGAGAGACAGAGATAGAGAGATAGAAAACAAGAAATTACTCCCCGGGGGGATGGCCTCCAGTTTCTTTTTGGGATTTTTGGGCGCACATGCATATGCTCCCAGCCTGAGGTTTAAGCCACCGGATCCAGGACTTGACCCACAGCTGACTACGTGGAAGTCCAGCAATGTAACCATTATGCCATCTGCTGATCCCGAAGGACTTATTCTTTTTTAAAAAACTAAGATTCTTGGGGCCAGCAGGTGGCATAGCAGTTTAGGTGGTGCACTCCCACATGGTTGACTGTGGTTCGAATCCCTGACCTAGTGGCTTGCTTTCTCACTTTCCCTCTCTCTATCTTTGGTCAAATCAAAATAATAATAATAAATAAAATTAAATAAATAATTCTTTAAAAAAATTAGGACTCTTAAATCAATAAGGGGGTCAGGTACTTTGGTATTATCTCTATTAGAGAATTAAAATGGTCAATAGTAACTTAATTTCCAGTATCATTCAAGTGGTTCAGGATAACTTGGTCTATGTACTTGGTCTAAATGGTCTGTAAATCTTGAGTGGTCTCATGTTTCTGATCTTTCCTTCTAAATCCTTTTTGCATTTTCGTTCAACAGACTGAGAAACAAAATGAAGAAGGCTGGTTCGCTCTTTCTACCCATGTGTCATAAGTGAAGTCAAGTTTTACAGAGTTTGTCCTCAATATTTTATTCCTGAATTTCCACTCCTCTTT